ATCAATTGGTGGTTGTTACATCGTCAAGCTTTAACTGATCAATCAAAAAATCTGCTATGCTATCAAGCCAAACAACTCTTTCATTCCGGTGGTTATAGGTCCGAGCCATCAAGTGGGCGGCCCCGTTTGCTTCTCTCCAAATATGTCGCCAACTAGTTGTTCTGCACCCTCCAAGCTTCTCCTGATACTCCTACAGATCACCCCTGTCTTCGTCAAATCTCTCATTGGATCATTGAGTTTATTAATCACCATCATGCTATCACATTCCAAGATCAGCTTTGGTGCGTGGAGAAGTGGCGCCAGCTGCGCACCCATCTCAGCAGCAAGAGCTTCGGCCTGATCCACACAACTCCCCCCACTAGTGCGTTTAGCCGCTGCCATTCGTAGCTTTCCATCGCTGTCCCTGACTACTGCCCCCAACCCAATCTCGCCATCAGGGAATATAGTTGCATCAGTGGTAATCGATATCCATCCAGGTTCCGGCTTGCTTCATTTCATTCGCGGTGGGGCATGTTCCGCCACTTCGTCTCTAGTATGGTGTGACTTGTAGTAAGTGAGAAAGAAGCCCGCCCTCGCAACAATTCCATCCTCTCGTAGTTTCAGACCATTCCAAAAATGAGCATTCCTCTCCTTCCACAAAAACCACATCAGCACAGCCCAGCCTTCCACCGTAGCTTCCTCCTTCTCCTTTATGACCTCAGTCCCCCGACCCCCTCAACTCAAAGCAGTCCAAGAGCGCTGAATTTCTCCAAATGCGGCTTGTCCAAGCGCACTCGTGAAAGAAGTGAGTTTGGGTCTCTTGGAGATTGCAGAACACACATCTATCGCCCCACTTATTGCTACGGGGTTCGACGTGGTTTCCCGTTGAAAGGGAATCTCTCGCGAATCGCCATAGAAAGTTCCGAATTTTAGGAGGGACCTGAAGTTTCCACACCTTCTTCCACACTTCAGCCTCCCCAACTTTCCACAGTCCATTCGCTTCACTAAACTGGCAAAACCACGCACGGTACCCATCTTTCACCGAATACTTACCCATAACACTATAACTCCAAATAAGCTCGTCCCTTTCTCCATTTCCGCGGAGTGGTATTTGAGTAATAGCTTGCAGCACATCAATCGGGAAACACCTCTGTAACAGATCATTGTCCCAGGTCTCACTCTCCCCCTCAACCAACTCCCGCACTACAACGTCTACATGAAGACCCTTCGGTGGGGTTGGGATGAAATGGTGAGGCAAGCTCGGGATCCACCTATCCCCCCAAATCCTAACGGATTGGCCATTTCCTATTCGCCATCTCCGTCCAGAGCAGAGAAAGTCTTGGGCAGAGAGGATGTTCTCCAGATATAACTAGGCCGATAACCCAGGTGCGCTTCGAGTATCGAAGAGTTTCGGTGATACTTCGTCTTCATGATTCTGGTAGCTATAGTCTCTGGGCGTTGATAAAGGTTCCAAAACTGTTTCGCAAGCATAGCCGTGTTGAACCCTCCCATGTCCCTAAGACCTATTCCACCATCTTCCTTTGGGCAAAGTAACTCTTCTCAACTTAACTAGTGAGCCCGTCTTTCCATCCCTCGCTGGCCCCACCAAACGTTTGTGATTAATTTGTGCGCTTCTTTTAATATCCCCTCCGGTATACGGAAAATCGACATCACATAAGTAAACTGTGCTTGAGCAACGGACTTAATTAGCACTTCACGAGCCACCACAGAGAGAGTGCGCTCCTTCCATCCTTTCAGTCTCTTTCTCAAACGATCCAAGATTTTCGTGAACAACTCCTTTTTTGACCGACCCGCCATTGTAGCAAGGTCCAGGTACTTATGATGTTTCTCCACCCTTTCCATTCCCAATATACCACTTACCATCATCTTATTATGCATTCGCACATCGTCGCTGAAGGAGACAGATGACTTCTGGAAGCTTACCATCTGCCCTGATTCGCGCTCATAGTCCTGGAGAATCTTCTTCAGTTCCTGGCTTTCCCGTTCTGTAGCTCTTGCGAAGAAGATACTATTGTCTGCAAAAAAGAGATGAGAGACAACTGGGGGCCCTCGGCCCGCTTGATATCCATGTATTCGCTTCTCCGCCAGAGCCAGGTTCGTATACGAGGATAAACCCTCGGCACACAAAAGAAACAGCTACGACGATAGAGGATCACCTTGCCTGAGGCCACGACTAGGAATGATGGTAGGTGACTACTGACCGTTCACCAATATCGAATAGGATACAAAACTTATACATCTCATGATTAAAGCTATCCACTGCGCCGAGAAACCCATCCGGGTCATCACTCCCTCAAGAAAATGCCACTCGACGCGGTCATATGCCTTTGACATATCTATTCTGGCCGCCAAAAATTCCACCTTTCTTTTAGATTTCCTCTTCATAGAATGAAAACATTCGAAGGCTGCCATAATATTATCCGTAATAGATCGCCCGGGGACAAACACACTCTGCTCAGGCGATATGACCTTATCCAGTATTGTCTTCATACGGTTAGCTAGAACTTTCACGACCAACATATACAGGACATTGCATAAGCTAATCGGTCGGAAATCCTTGGGAGATATGGGCTCTTTCACTTTCGGGATCAGTGTGATTAGAGTATGATTAAGACTCTGTGGAAAATCCCCACCTGCGACAATGTCACACACTAGCTTCCACACATCAGTACCAATAAAATGCCATTACTTCCGAAAGAATAGGACTAAAAAATCGTCAACTCTCGGAGCCTTGCTGGCTCCCATCTGCTTAAGGGTTGCGACAACCTCTTCCTCAGTAACCGGCTTGATTAAAGCATTATTCTCCACCTCCGAAACACTTGTCCTGATCGAGTCAAGGACTGGAGTAGAACTAGGGGCATCACCTGCTTTAAACAAATAATCAAAATAGTTAGTAAGGACTTCAAAGAGGCGCTCCTGTCCCACAAACCAAGCTCTTGTCTCATCCTTCAACTTCTTGATGGTGTTTCGTTTCCTACTGGCTGAGGCTTCCCGGTGAAAGAAATTTGTGTTCCGATATCCCTCCTTGAGCCAATTGGCCCTCGACCTTTATTTCCAATAAATTTCTTCATTTTCCTCCAGCTCGTATAGTTCAGCTTCAAGCTACCGCATTTGGTTCAACACCTTTTCCATCTTCTCCCTTCTTTCGAGTGCTCTCATAGCCCTTCTAATTTTGCCTTTTGCTTCGAGAACCGCGGGAAGGTGCGCCAGCTCCAATCCTCCAATCGATTTCTACATTCATCCAATTTTTCCATAGGATTATTTAGCTGACTCGCTCGCCACCCGTCTTCTACAATCTACATACAGTCGTTGTGTTTGGCCCACATCGGTTCAAAGTGAAAAGATCGCCCCCAGCTAGGCTCCTCATCCTCTTCGCCCAATGTGTTGCAAAGGATCGGTCGGTAATCCGAACGACGTTTATCCAAATGCATTACGCTGCTTCTAGGGAAACTAGCCTGCCAACTCTCGTTCGCCACGAACCTATCCAGTCTTTCCTCAATGTATCTTTCGGCTTGGCGTCTGTTCTCCAGGTGAACCGATACCCATGAAACCCCATATCATTCAGACCTGAGTCAAGAATGCAGTTGGCAAAATCCATAATTTCCTAACCCTCCACCTCGTTATCTCCACTCTTTTCCTCACTCGATAAGACTTGGTTAAAGTCGCCACCACAAATCCAACTAACCTTTCATTGTGCTGCCAACCGGCGGATTAACTCCCAAGTTTGTACCTTCTCTACACCCACTGACCAGCCATAAATACCATAAAACGCCAAGTCCCAACTATATGATCCTCAATTTTCACATCAATATGATGGTAGGAGGTCGACATGGGAGTTAATTCCACCTTGTTAGCCCACCACAAACTCAAGCCTCCAGCTTTCCCACCTTGAGATTGGTCAGCCGAAACCACTACACTTTGATTAAATCCAAACTCATTTCGTACAACGACGTTCTCAGCTTTTGTTTGCTTCGTCTCCATCAGGAAGACTAGCTGTGGGGGTGTTTGTCGCACAAGCGACTTCAGGGATTTAAATGCTCTTGTATTCCCCAACCCACGACAGTTATAGCAAAGAATACGCATTAACTACCGGAAGGGGATAGGTTCCCCGCACCATTGGATTTTGTAACCCCCCCCCCCCCCCCCCCCCCCCGATGCCGAAGTCTCAACTTTCTTCTCTTTTACCGTTTTAGTTGCATTGGACATTTTGTGACCTATCTTTGGGCCAGGTTTATCCACATCCTGTACCTTGGTAGTACCACCACATGCCCACCCTTAGCTATCGAAGTCTCCTTGCTTTAGCAACTTCATTACTCCCCTTGCTACGACCCTCCACAACACCCTCCTGTTTTTCCTTTTTCTTTTGTGACGTGCTTCTCAGCCCTACCTTCTCATGTACCTCATCTTTCTTAACTCTTGTTCCCTGTCTCAACTCCTGCTCTCTCTCGGCAGGTTCTTCTTCCAGTAGCACTTCAAATTTATTTATGCTCCCTTGTCTCGACTCCTTCTTGGTATTGGGAGGCAACACCTTCTCACGCACTACGGTCCATTGAGGTCGTCGGTATTTTCGCTGGACAATCGTCCAATCACCATAAACTTGACCTTTTATTCGAGTTTCTGTTTGTGTTTCCGACACAACTTCCGGCGTTGGGGCAGTCTCATCATTAGTCATTTCCTTACAGCTACATAAGTGGGTTGGCTTCCCATACTTTCCATAGTCAGTACAAAGATTATCCAACCCTTCATATTGAACCAGGTATTCCTCTCCCTCGATTTTATATTGAGAAAGCAATGGTTTTGTCAGGTCCACCTCCACGCATACCCGAGCGTACTTGCCTCTCTCCAAATTCAGTAGCTTTATCTACTCGTATAGGTTTCCTGATAAAATTCGCAATCTTTATCACTGCTTCTTTATTAATAAACTCGATCGGAAGATCCGGAAGTTGGATCCAGACCATGGGTGACTTCACCTTCGACCTCCACGGGTTAAAGCCTTTATACTAGCGCGTCACAGTTAAATAAGTATCACCTAGTAGCCAAGGTCCCTCGTTAATGGCCGCTTCATAATCATCTTGATGGCGGAACCTCACTAGGAAACATCCATTCTTCATGTCCGAAATCTTGAGTTCCCCATGCTTTCCCCATAGGCTGTTCATTCGTTGGGACAAGGGTAAGAACGGAACGCGCCGCCCTAGCCCTTTGACTACTAACGCTGATCGCCACTCTCGTCGCCACCTAATATTTTCTGCAGCTGTGAAAGGGATTGTGGGGCAATTAGGGTTATGTTCCATACCGTCGCACTCATCATCATCTTCCTTCTCAGCTTGCAGCGTATCCTCAGTATCTGACTCTGCTATGTACCAGCCTTCCTTCTGTCGGCCTTCTCCGAATAGCTTCCGTCCACCTCCCCCAGCCCAAGCCGAGGTATGGGGATTTTCCGGAGTATTCTCGATTTCCTCTGTCTCCATCTCCTCTCCCCTTTGTGAGTCTTCCATCCTTATTCCTTCTTGGACAAGGTTAATCGCACGAGGGTGCTTCTTCACCTGAGTGGTTTCTTTAGCATTCTTATGATTCAGTGAGGAAGTGGTTTCCGCAGGCCGCCTGCTACCACTCAGGTTATCCGGTGGCTTGTTCCCCCCAGCAGGCAACGTCGGCGGCTTCGCCGTCGCCATGCAGTCTCGCAGATCTCCGCCTTCTCGCTGAATTGCCTGGTTGCCCTAGCTCCGAGAAAATAGTCGTGCCTCTTCCTGTTCCTTAAGTTGTTTTTTAAAACTCGCTAAACACTACCATTTTTAATAACCTTCCCGTTCAAGTTTTCATGCAAATTTTATAAAGCCGTAGGGGTAAATTGCAAGGTTGGTCATTGAGATTACAAAAAAACGTTCATGTTTGGTCACTATAAATATTTAATTCCATTCGTGGTCACTATGTTTAGTAAAACCGTCTAAATTTGGTCACTCTCCGCTAGTCTCCGTCCACCTCCGTCAAAGAAGATCGTTATGTGCTTATGTGGCTAACAGAATCGCCTAATCAACTTATTTTAATCCAAAAAATTAAAATTCGACCCGCCACGTCATAAAACCTAATCCAACGGGTGACCCAAACATAGCCATCTGAACCAAAAAAAATTCCGTGAACCAAACATACCCAACCGAACTAACAAAAAAATACATTGAATCCCCTCTTCCTTTCTTCAACCTCTGAAAGTTTTGAAAGCAGGAAAGAGCAATTAACTTCAAACATCACTAAACCGGACTATCTCTGCAAACCACACAAAGAGATTGAAGCACAGTTATTATTCACCATTTCATGAATTCAACATATCAGAGTAAGTAAGCCATAAATGGAACAACTGCTAATGAAAATAGTAGATTGATTTTAAAAACGAATCCAGATCTGACTTCAACGAAAAAGTCAGACCCGCTTTTCATTGTTGCCGCTATCTACCGCTCGTTGTGCCATTTTGGCGAGCATCATCGCTCCCTTCCTCTTCGCTTCAACTTCCTTGTTGCCGATCAAAGAAGGGTTCAACACGGCTACGCTCTGGCTCTACAAAGAAGAGTTCGAAAAGTCGAAGAAATCCCCCACGTGCGGCAGATTAGGGTGTCCTGTTGTTGATGCATGAGGTTGTGGATTGAGAAGAGAATCGTCTACCATCGACTGGACATCTAGTGTTGGGGGAGGATGCAGTTCCCTTCTTTGGTCGAAGGCGCCAACGGGGAGCTCCTAAATCGACACGGACCTTTCCTACTACAACTCTTGACCTTTCCTACTACAACTCTTGGTAAATCTCTAGAGGAGATGAGCGGTCGTGCCAACTATCGTCGGCGGGGGAGGAGACGAGGAGAGGATTAGGTTAGGGAAGAGAGTTGGGCGGGGTCGGTTTCTACTTGTATGAGTTTAAATTGGTTGGGTTATGTGTTGAGTGGTTGGCTTGGATGACATGGCTAGTCGGGTTTGAAATTTTTTGGGTTGAAATAGGCTGATATTTGCTATTTTGTTAGCCACATCAGCAGAAAACTGACGGTGTTAATGGAGGCAAACGGAGACTAACGGAGAGTGACCAAATTTGGACTGTTTTACTAAACTTAGTGACCACGAATGAAATTAAATATTTTTAGTGACCAAACATAAACCTTTTTTGTAATCTCAGTGACCAATCTTGCAATTTACCCTAGAGCCGTACAATTTTGGATACTAGTTTACAAACAAGTAAGCGTTGATCAGGTAGAGAGAACTATAGAACTCGCTAAAGATGAGCTCAAAGATGTGTCGTAGATTGTCCTCTACGCCAATTCATTGATAGTACTTGTGTTTGGTGATATATTTACATGAATGCATTTTGATATGTGATGATTAAATGAGTCAAATAATACGTGTGTTTAGTACTTGTTATGTTTACATGCATTTTTATATGTGACTGGTTCATTGATAGTACTTGTGTTTGGTGACATAGAAGTGACTACTTGTTAATTATAGCTATCGTTATATAATGTCGCGCAAAAGTAGTATCGTGTCACAAACATTTTATGTGGTGCCAACTAGTCGTCGAGGCATTCCTCCGGTGAATCCGTGTTTTGTTGTACGAGAAAAAAGGGTTTAATTTCCAACAAATATGGCACCCACACTAATATTCATTTTTACAACAAACATTATTCAGGCAATATCTGGATTACAATAAGCACATACACACACTAAGATTGTTTTAAAACCTCATACAAATGTTCATTATAAGTACAAAATGAAACTAACACAACAGTTTGAATAAATAGGTGCATTTGACTTGACTAAAAAATGCATCGAGTGTTGTTACGTTGGGTTGGAAGTCACATGATGAATTTCCCCGGGAGTCACAATCTGAGCTCTCCCAAAAAATCATGGTCGTAACTTACGATGATTAGACCGTGAAATTTTTTATGAGAATAACCATGAAAGTCACAACCTGACATTCTAGAAAGCACGATCATGACACATGATTTACGTGGTTTTATTTTCTTCTAGGGTTTATTCAACATTGACTGCATCACCTCCATCCTCCACTACAAAGTTACTTTGATACATAACCACTTATTCCATGGATTGATATTTACACGAGTTTCCCCCTCTTGAACTTTCATTTTTTCGGGAAGTTGAAGAGGCAAAAGAGATAAGGATATTCTGACATGTCTCCATTGTTCTGTGGCTCTTGTAGAAAGAGATCAAACTGAAACTATTAATACGGATGGAAGCGAACGAACTAGCTTTGTAAGCCCACACCTGTGTAGAGTAGATTGTTCAACACTTGCGGCACAAACCCATTTTTGACCTACAAACAGATAATAAAACGTTGAAAACAACCTATGAGCGGGGTAGGAAAAGCGCAGAGGTTCCGTGTTAAAACACTGAGAGTAGGAAGCAGTGAGGTTCTGTCTTAGGGGCAAGGTGGAGCGTAAGGGGCGAGAGTGTGTTGGGAGTAGGGACCCCTTAGGAAACCTCGAACTCAGAGGTATGTTTAGGATATTGGTAGCTTGTTCATGAAAAAAAAAACAATGCACCAGTGCTACCCACCATTCCCCCAAATCTCTATCAATTAATTCTTCAACACGAGCCTCCAAACCTAACTGGCCCGATGGAATCCCACCAGTACAATGGGAACTAAAGTGAATGTTTTCAAAGTTCTATTGCATTATGTCTTCTTATCCATACATTGATACTCATGATATCCAATTCGAAAATGAGAAGAGCTAAATTTTTTTGGTTTAATGGTCTCATCCAATCCGTACAATTACTCTTAACGAATTAAAGACATAATTAGTAAGTAGTTAACTTCTGTAACGAAAAAAACATTCATACAATTCGTAACTAGATTAACACACCACCGATCTACCAATTCACGTACTATATCTCGAACGATCGAATCAAATTCCAATTCACTTAAAACATCACAAATCCATGATTTCCATATTTCCATCTGTTTCACGAAAATCGTTAGTGATCAATTGTTATTCGTGGATCCAAACGGTCCATGAGGATCCAACTGCCTACAGATCCCCAAATAAGTCAAATACAACAACCGGTCCTTGGCACCCGTCCGATGCACCCCAGCGTGCCTACAGAAATACCTCAACTGCTCAAGCGTCAACAAACCCAAAAACTCCCCCAGCAACAAAAACAGCCAGTTGATCCGCTTCTTCCGGGCCGCCACCACGGGCCTCGCGCTGCCCGCGAGCCCGCACCGCTCGCACCGGGCCAGGGCGGGCCGCTTCCACCGCTCGGGGGCCCGGTGGTGCATCGAGCCCATGTGGTCCACGATGTAGGTCCCCAGCTCCACGAACTTCTCCCTCAGGTCGTACGAAACGTCGTACGTGGCCTCGCAGCTCTTGCACCGCATTTCCCCCGTCACGGTCGTTACGTTGTGGGCCAGGAGGTGGGCCAGCGTGTGGACCTTGGCCCGCGTGGATGTGGCCCACGGGTACGGCGGCTCGACCACGTCGGTCTTGTTTTTCTTGTTGGGCCGGCTCCGCGGCTGCCGCGACCGGGCGGAGGCGGGCGGTGGAGGGAGGGCGGGGTCGGTGGGCGGAGGAGGAGGAGGAGGAGGGAGCGGTGGCGGCAGGGAGAGGGCGAGGGTGAGGCTGACGTCATCGTCTTGGACGAGTTTCTTCATTGTGATTGACGGACAATGAACTGAGGGGGGAAAGTGTAATATATATGGTGTAGGGTTTGAGGGGACGAGGGAGAAACGGGAAAGAGGTTTTTTTTTTTTTTTTTTTTTTTTTGAGGGAAAGAGGTTTTTTTTTATTCTTTTCTGTTGGGTCGGAGATCTTGGAGAAGTGGATATTAGTCGGATTTGAGGGGGAAGAATATTAACAGAATGACTATGCTTTTTCTTCCAATTTCGGTTTTCTTCTCTTACATTTTGTTTTTGTACTCCGTTGAGATTCTTTTTACTCGTATTAATTATTATTATTGTTGTTGTTTGATATCCAGTTGTTTCTTTTGTACCGTCTGGTATCTTTGTTGGAGAAGGGAAGGTTGTTATTGACAAAATCATGAAGGGGGTAGCGGTGGGATGTTACTCTAGGAAATCTTGACTTTGTGTGATGCTTTTAGACAATTTGGTGCTCGATTTGTTGGATGTAATTGTAATAGGGGTTGTTCATTTGGTTGGTATGGATTTTTTTTTTTTATGTTCACTTATTTAGTTGGGTTCGATTTCGTTTCTTAGATGTTTTCGGTCTGTAATTTATTTGTCAAGGAAATCAAAAATTTCATTTTGAGGTTAATAAAGTAATTTTAATTAAGCAAAATGTGAGGGGAATTATTTTTGTAGTAGAGTAACACGTTAGATCCTATATGTTATGATTCTTTTTTTTTTTACAAAAGATAGATATATATTGATTCAATCCAAAAGCTAGTTACACCCTGGAGCTCAGTCAGTTCTGAAAATCAAAGACAGGATTCATAGTCGGGGACAAAGAAAGGGCCTTTCTAGCCACCAAATGGGCTACCCTATTGCTACACCGACTAAAGCATAACTTCTTCAAGAACAGCCCATGCCTGGTTGTCTCTGGTATCTGCCTGATTGATTTTATCAATGATCACCTTGGCATCACCTTCAAAAACGTTCATAAATCCAAGCTCCAGACACCAAAGAATCGTCGTCCTAAGTACGAGCAGTTCAGCCACCATAGGGTCATCAATCACCGGAATTTGGACACCTTTTACAAGGAGGATCTCCCTTAAAGGAGTAAAGAGAACAATCCCACCATCCGAATGACAACCACTCTTAGTGGCGCCATCCCACATACACACAATCCTATCAGCCTCCACCGGAGCCAACTGATGTGACCCCGGGGGGCGAATGACGTGCGTAGGGCCAGCAGGCGGCAAAGCCATCCATTCCTCATATTGCTGGCGAAACTAACGCAACAACGCAGGGAAACCGAACTGTTTACCCTCAAAGACCACCCAATTACGCGATTGCCAGATCCTCCAGAGAACAGCCACAACTGCCATGAATAGCGTGGGCTGATGAATCAAGGCCAGCAGCTTCTTCAGAAAATATGGAAAAGTATGCCGAGGAAACCCCTCTCCCAAGTATTCCAACCCCGAATAGTCCCAAAGTGCTCGCGCAACCGGGCAGTATAGAAATAAATGCTCCATTGTCTCAGAACTAGCCCAACACACCGGACAACGAGGATGGACGGGGACCTTCCTCTCAATTAGCGCCTCAGTGGTAGGGAGGGCCCGATTGAGGATCTGCCAGACAAATACCTTCAACTTTGGAGGGATATTAGCATCCCATACCCTGATCCAACTGGCCTTATCCATCCAACTTGCCAAAGATTTCCAACCTCCCTTCCTCCTATCAAGGGAGACTGCAAGATGATAGGCTGATTTGACAGTGAAAACCCAGTCCTTCGTGTCATGCCAGATCATCCTGTCCTCCATATTCTGCCTTGGCAGAGGAATTGCTTTAATGGCCCGATAGGTAGACGGGTCAAACCACTGGCTAAGTTTGGTGTCACACCAACGCCCCTCCCCTTAACAAATGACCTCAGCCACCTTCAGGTCACCCTCACTTGGTAAAATCTGCGGATTATAGCTTGGGGCGTCCAGCTGGCAACGAGGTATCCAGTTGGAATGAAGGAGGGAGGCAGGTCTTCCATTTCCAATCTGCCAACGAAGACCTACCTCCAGCAACTGGCGTCCGTATAAGATACTTTGCCAACCCCATGATGGCCGAGATCGTGGCGTAGCCTGGAGATTAGTTGGTAAACTCTTCGTATTTGTGAGGTATGATTTTGTATGGTGCATAAGTGTTTGGAGTGCGGTTAAGGAAGAGTAACAAATATGAGATATAATGCAGGATTTTGCAATTGCTATTGTAGTACCACTACAAGAAACTGTACTTTTTGCGACGATCATAAATTAGTCGTAGAAAGTGTACATTCTGCGACGCATTTTACTTTTTCGTCGCAGAAAGTGTATCATCTGCGACGGAAGGCACTTGTTCGTCGCCCATTGTTGGAAGACTTTCAGCGACAGATATATGTTGTCGCAGAATGTCCTAGAATTTTTTGCGATGATTTTCTGCCGTCGCAGAATGCTTTGGAGTTTTTTGCGACGACTTTTTGTCGTCGCAGAATGTTTGATGGTTCTTGCGACGATGTTATGTCGTCGCAGAAAGTTTGATACTTTTTGCAACGCTTTTCCTTCGTCGCAAAAGTTTTGGAGATGTTTTGCAACGATATCCTATCGTCGCTGAAAGTTTGGAGCTATTTACAACGTTAGCTTTCGTCGCAGAATGTTGGTGACTTTGCGTATTTAGAGCAATGGTAGGTGTTGTTTTTGCGACTTTACATATTTATAGCAATTTGAATTATATAAACTTGACGAATCGTGGTGTATCGTAATTGGTTATACTACTGGTTTTATTTTCATTGTGAATAATAGGTCATGGGTTCGAATACAAGATCTCTTTTTTGTGGTTTATGATTTTCATTTTCAGCATACAAAGGAGGGTAATTTGGTACTTTACGAAGAACACGGTGGCAGGACATGGTAATTATTGCGAGTTCCAAGGGCAAATTGTTTTTTTAATAGCCATATATTATAACACATTGGCCCAATTCTCTAACCCTAGCCGCACTCACTTATCATCTCCTCCTCCCCTCGGTTAAATTACATATTTGGTCACTCGAATTGCATAAATCTTTCATGTTTGCCACCCAAAATTACTTTTCTTTCATATTAACCACTAACTTTACGTTTCGTTTCACCGTTAGTCACCGTCCGTCAGTCTCCGTCAGACTCCGTTTAACGCCGTCAGATTTTTGATGAGTGTCAAACAAAAGTGCTAACTGGGCTGATGACACGCCAAAACACAACACCAAACTGCGACCAAGTGTAATCGCAGTCCGGGAATGCAGTAACAGGCAAGTTCTATTATCAACCCGGGGTCTAGATCTACTGCTTACTCCGTGATTATTTATTATCTAACCAACTAAGTCGAGTGATTTGTGTTTAAACTAAAAGCAGCAAGAAAGCATGAAATTATTCGGTTTTCTCAAGCAGGAAAGAGTCACTCGGGAATGAGTCCCCCTAGCTCCTTAGTTAGGTTCAATTGCAATTACCCTGGGTTGATTTACTGTTGATTAGACTGCGGAAGATCCGACAGTAGCTTGGAATCTCTTAAGCTGACCAAGCCCTCTCAGTCTAACTACCCGGCAGACGACTAGTCTTCACCGGGATAGAAAGCTGAAGCAATAAGCACAGAACTCCACTGCTGGAATTGAATTCCAGTACAAAGCAGTAAACTGGCTAACTCTCGTATAGCCAATCTCCTACTATCGAATGAAGAGACTCTAACAACCTAATCAGATTCTATCTATCTCAGGTTGCAGCAGGAATCAGGAAAAGTTGATCAGACTTCAATTGACTCAATAAACATGCATCATTCGATTAAAATCAAACAGTAATATCATCCCAAGTCATTACAATCAATCCCTAACACATAGAACTAGGGTTCTTCATCCCCAAGTGAGAGAGAGGTTCTACTCCATAGAGAGAGAGGAAAACAAGGTACAAAGCAGTCATACTCATTACAATGGGAAGAATCTGCTATGGGATGATGATTTTCACTCCTATGACGATCTCCAAGCTCGATTTGATGAAACCCAGCTCCAAGATAGCTTCTAGGATGTGTTCTTCGTCCTTTTTCTCTCTAGGGCTCTGTTTTTGCTCAAAAAGTCCGATTCTCTCACTTGTGGCTCGAAATTGGCTGAAAAACCAAGATTTCCCGACTCACACAGGTAGGCTACACGACCGTGTGGCTCACCTAGTTGCCCGTGTTAGTCAAAACGCGGCGTATCATTAAGTCGAAATTCAGGCTTCCCACACGGCCAGGGTCGCACGGCCGTGTGGGATTTCCACCTGCCCGTGTTTGCTCTCGGCGAAAATCACACGGCCACAAATGTGCGTTGCACGGCCGTGTGATGTCCAGGAATGCCCGTGTGGCTTCCTTAGCACCTCGCCACGCGTCTGATCTCCGTCCAATCGACCCCAAACTCGCTCCCAAGCCTCCATTCACGTACTAGGACCTGAAATATCACAAACAAGCACAACCTAGCGTGAAATCGGCCTAAAACATGAGAATCAACACCTCAAACGGTGTAAGAACAGGGGTAAAAACATGTGTAATTAACGGTCTATCAAACTCCCCCACACTTAACCGTTTGCTTGTCCCCAAGCAAACCAAGTCAGACACAAGGTAAGCTTACATATTTCAATCAACCAACATTGGGGACAAGTCATAAAGGCACAGAACACGTGAATCGTACTGGTTTTCAAACATCAATACTTGACCAACTTTAATAGCAACCTGGACAACCACCACAAAGGACATTCGAGTGCAGCAAAATCGAGTAAAGGAAGAGTCTCCCTTCTGTTCACCAACCAACCTAGACTTGACTCAACCACTTACTCAAAACAGTCAACTCATACATCCAACTCAAGACATCAGAATAGAGACCGAGCAATCTAGGTCCTCACCGGGGTACAAGAGTATATAGAATATGAAAATGAATCACTCACTCTCGACCAGTGGGGTAGGGACAATTTGATGCGAAAAATGCGCATGCTATTTCTCTCAATCCCTAACATCTCTTTACC